ACCCCTCAATGTTGGGTACTCTGAATAGTACAAAGAAGTGCTTTTTTAACTTCAAATGCCAGCTCTCTCAATGAGCACTTTGTAAGGATTGATTTAGCACAAAATCTGTAGAATTAGATTAGATTGGGGCTCCAGAAATAAGGAATAGGTGGAAAAACCAAGAAAGCCATTTAAAAGATATTGATACTTCTTTAAAATCCTGGCCAATCTGAGGATGGGGGGGGGGGGGGATTTTTATAATATTTTATGACTACATTTTTCCTTGGGGGCTTCTTAGGTACTCACTCACTAAGCAATTCCCCCCAAAAAAATAGGATGAGGATTGGAACATTCTACTACTCAAACCCAACAGTGATTCACAACAGTCTCAACTTCACCTGTACTGGAAATGATAGACAGGGTACTATAAAAAAATAAAAAATAAAAAATTGAAGACCAGGAAATCCAGACAATCAAAAATTGACCATTTCCAGACTTGAAGTAGCCAATTTCGGCATGATTCTTGAACTTACAAGTGCTGCACAATAACAACAATGCTAAACAAGTATCCAAAAATCTCATGGTGTCATCACTCTAGAATTTCCTGTACTAAAAACAGTTCTGATCAAGTTTGTATTTCACCTTTCTAGAGTTAAATTATATTGGCTGATCATGTTTCAAGAAAAGGACAAAGAGAAAAAAGGATAAGTTTTTTTTTTTTTTTTCCAAGAAGGTACCTTTTGAGCCCTTATCACATTCAATCTCCAAGACAAAAAGGGGAAGATGCCAGTGTCTCTGCCATTCAAACTCATCCTAATTCATACTGTGACCATATGTAAGTATTTATCAACTGGTTTTGTAAACAACCAACAATTTATGTGATATTGAACCATGGTCCTTCCGCAATTGATTTTTTGTGGTGTTTTCACTCACTCTTTATAAAATTGTTGATGTTATTTAATTAAACACTCTGGGTGCTTATGTGTTTTTGGTTGGTTACCATTGGATAAACATAGTGGTGTATATGTAGTTTACAAATTTCAGCTTTGCTGGCTCACCCTAACAGTGCTACATTTGAGCCCATCTATGTTGAAATTATCAGATGTGATGTCCAAGGCATTGATGAGAGGGTTTCTGTGGCTCTAAAGAAAACCCTAGATTGACTTATTCAACACCACATCCCAAAGAAGCTCAATTCAAGGTTAACTTGGATTTTGCATCTAAAGGAATGGTGGTGTAGTGATTCATGCACCACTCACCACATCTCAAGACTACTTGGCCTTTGGAAACCTCCTAGCAAAGTGTCTGTTGAGTAAGGATGGTTGTTTTGGAGGAATAATGGTGTGTAGCTCCCTGCAAAGTGGAGATGACTATCTTGAAGGTTGTGGACTGGAGCAACACCATTATTCTGTGCTTTACATGATTTTCTATTTCTTATTTGATTACGCTATAACTTCTTTACATTGACATGACACTTTCTTAGATTTTTGATTTTCACCCAAACCTTAGTACGTCACCCTGGTCCTCATACACAACAAAATGGAAATAGAGTCACCAAGCCTTTGGATCCTTTGCTCTAGCTTGCGGTTCTGATCTGATGCATGATTGTGCTAGACTGTCAAGGCTGTGATTTTTTTTTTTTTTTTTGTACCGGAAGGGAATATGCCGTATATAAGTTTTTTTGTCTTTTTTTGTTTCTCGAACTTGATACCTCTGCCGATGAAGCAGAATCAGACAAGTCATGCATGTCTGGGAGCTGAGCACCTCAAGTAGTCAAGCTTGTTTGGATGCTGAATCGATCAGACGGAGGTTGGTTTGATGTGAAGTTTTGTCCTAAGACCGAAACTAGCAAATCAGCTTACAGTTTCATCGTAACTGCCCTGAGGTTCATTCCATCCTCACAACACCGGTCAGTGGCGGTTACCATCACGCTGACACTCGAACTTTAAGCCCAAGCATTCTCCCTCTCACCACTTCACGCACTATCTCTCGCTTGTAGCACTTCACTAAGCAGTCAACGCTATTTCGATCCAAACCACATTTCCTTCAAAACTATTCCATCTCTGCCAATACTACACTCACAATGGTTCGCCTTTCTTCCACATCTTCTATCTGCAACATTGTGGGTCACGGACTGTTGATCGGAATTTAATCCTACTTGATTTACAACAATCCAGACTGCTGCTAAACCTAGGTATTCGAGTCTTCAATACTGAGTCACATCTGGTCGACTGGTCCTTTTACTAATCAACAACTTGAATAATGCAGAATCCAACAAAAGAAAGAGGCATTGTATGCGGAAGCTCTCAGGAAAGGAACCCACATGAAGCCATCTTACCGGGAAATGAAGGTACATCTGACTCTTCACCTCCTTACACTCACATTCGAAAGCTGACCAGGGGTCCTAATGCTTTTGTTACATCATTTGCTACTCTGGTCGCTCAACTATTGTCTCACTTGAATGCGATCAAATCAACAGGCGTCCAAGCCATCTGTTCCACCAACTGTCGTTTACGGCCTATTGATCATCTTGGGAGGGGGACGTGAGTGCTCAAATCAGTGAACATAAGTGATCAGATCCGTTAAAGTGTTACTGTTCTGTTATCCCCTTTCTCAGTCATCTTTGAACTGCTCAGATTGATATTTTAGGTCTACTTTTACCGTCTAACGACTTTTTCTTCCAGCAAATGGACCAGTATCATCCCTTGTTGGGTGGTGATACCTCGACCCTGATGCATTCATCAGTCTCGTCATGTTCGTCTATCCATGTCCTCCCACAATTACCATTTCATCACGCAAACTCCAGAATGAGAAGTTGAACATCATTGACCAGGACCTTCTCAGCTATAGTTCTTCCCCTCATCATTGGATAGACTTGCATATTGTATTTTCTCTCAGTTTGGGCTTTGATGGTTTGTCAAGGTGGAAGTGATGTAGCTGGTTGGATGAGTAATGCATTGTAGAGCTCTCGTGTACTTGCTCATTTTACATTTCCACATTATTTGACTTCAATACTACTTTCGCCGCATAAGTCTGAATTCATATCAAAAGAAAAGAATTGATCCCGTGTAGGTACCCCGGTTCAGTCAAAATTCTCGTAAATTTAACTTGGTTCAAATATAAGCAAGACTTGGTAGCAATGTGTGCTATTTTAATTCCTTAATCGAGATCTTATACATTTGAGAAGACCAGCATGTTTAAATCTAAAATTACTGGAAATGTGTCTCAATCAATACAATCGGATCGAGTTTTTCAGTCTGTTTTTGTGAAGTAACCTGGGCAGGTTAAGTTGTAAAGCGAATTCAGAAAACACGCAGAAATCACCAAGATATAAATACATTTACTGTGCAACAGAAAGCTTTGGCGCCGGTTATCGGACCGGAAAAAAAAAAAAAAAAACCTTGATCTTTTCATACTTGTTCCCAAGTGAAGATAGAGGGAGGGAGGGGTTGTGCACAAGTACTTTTAAGGTATAAAAAAAAAAAGAAGAACGTATACGAACACTATAGAACAAAAAATTAAAAATTAAAAAAAAAAAAATAA